TCAAGTACTTACTTGATTTATTTCTTTGTTAGACATTTCCAACATCCTTTGGGCAGTTTTTGTTAATTCAGAGTTGAATCCATTATAAGTGATGCAATTGTTAACAATTAGATTGACATGTTCCGTAAACTGCTGCCTTGTCTCATACTTGTGCTTACGAATAATTCTGAAATAATAAAAATGAGTGTATACATACATGTAGCAACTCAAAACTTAACATATTCTAATTTATACCTAGCATAAAAACATTGAACTGCAATGAATTAACATTAGTATTACATGTATTTGTAAACTTCAAATGGCAATATGTGACCATAATTGACAAAAGGGCCCTTATGGCGGATTTTAAAATTGATCCTTATAATGGAAAATATCAACTTGTGAGTGCTTTGTTAGACAATCATTGTTTCTAAAAGTTTCATGGTAACTTTTTGCATCCTGTGGAGTAATTTTATGATAAATGGAGCTCAGGAAGTTGGATTTCTTAGGCTAGAAAGACAAATTTCACTACCCGCCATAAGGTACCTTTTGTCAATTATGGTCACATATATTAAAGAAGTTCTGGCACAAAATTATTGAAAAACAGCATGTGCTATTGCCATTATTAATACATTTTCTAATGTCATTGATGAACTTGTGCAATGGCAATATTTTTAATGCTCATAAACTCAAAATTATTTGTTGGAATCAGCTCAAACTTATAAGGACATTAATGTGCATCATAAAATGTAATAAAAATTTGGAGTGATTTTGGAGCCATTTTTTTGGAAAAAAAACCATGGACTATAGCACAGGGTTTTTTCAAAAATTTGGAGTTTTCTTAAAATTGCCATAATTTGAAAAATTAAAGTAGGAATCAGCTCAAACTTGCTACACAGCATAAGGACATCAATATACATCAGAAAATTTAATAAAAATTTGAGGTAATTTTGGAGCCACTTTTTGGGAAAAAACCATGGGCTATAGCCTTGGGTATTTTGAGAATTTTGACGTTTTCTTAAAATGGCCGTAACTTGAAAAATTGAAGTCGGAATCAGCTCAAACTTGCTACATAGCATAAGGACATCAATATGCATCAGAAAATTTAATAAAAATTTGAGGTAATTTTGGAGCCACTTTTTGGGAAAAAACCATGGGCTATAAGCCTTGGGTATTTTTAAGAATTTTGACGTTTTCTTAAAATGGCCGTAACTTGAAAAATTGAAGTTGGAATCAGCTCAAACTTGCTACACAGCATAAGGACATCAATATCCATCAGAAAATCTAATAAAAATTTGGGGTGATTTCAGAGCCATTTTTTGAAAAAAACCATGGGCCTTGGGTATTTTCAGAATTTTGACATTTTCTTAAAATGGCTGTAACTTGAAAAATTAAAGTCGGAATCAGCTTAAACTTGCTACACAGCATAAGGACATTAATATGTATCAGAAAATGCAATAAAAATTTGGGGGGATTTTGGAGCCATTTTTGGAAAAATCCATGCGCTATAACCTTGGATTTTTCTCAAAACTTTGACCTTTTTCTAAAATGGCCGTAACTTAACAAATTGAAGTCGGAATTAGCTCAAACTTTTTATACAGCATAAGGGCATCAATATGTATCAACAAAATGATAAAAATTTAGGGTGATTTTGGAGCATTTTTTCGCTCCAAAATCCCCCATATAATCAGGGGCGTATCCAGCAGGGGCTGAGGGGGGCTTGAGCACCCCCCTCATGGCTGGGCTCAGAAAAAAAATTACTCCAATCCTGGACTTTTGCATCACTACCAAGCCTCCACCTGATCATAATTTCAGCAGTTTCCAGTGCTTTAAGGAGCAATCAGAAGTCATCAGAAGTACCAGTATGCTTGAAATTATTTTGACCCCACCCGTAATTCACAAAAATGAAGGAAAACGCCGTTTTACTGCCGCAAAAAGAGGTGTGGCCAAAATTGTGGTGTGCTTCGTGCACCCTCAGCACCCCCCTTTCCAAATTTCTAAATACGCCCCTGATAAATCACCATGGTTTCTCTTCTTTGCTGTCATTTGTATCACCTTGTGAAACAGTGTCAGTGGTTCGGTCAGTGGGTGTTTCTTTACTC